GGCTGAGAGTACATTTCGATATAATAATCATAAAATGCAACCACTATTGAAATACAACCACTACTGAAATTATCATTTCAATAGTGATAGAGAGTATTTGACATTTAGTATAATCCATATGTTTCAAACGCTATTGAAATAAAACATTCTACTGAAATAATAATTTAATAGTGGTTGAGAGTGCATTTAAATATGGTAACCATGAAGATTATCAACCATCTATTGAAATATACTACCAGTAGGACTAGAAAAGTTTCACCGCGTCCAAGTGAGTAATTATTTCAATATATATTGTCTCCTGCTGTATGACAAACACTATCAAAATCACTAATTTTATCCATATTGAAAACTTAATTTTAAAAGTGAACATTATTTAAATAAGCAGTTGCAATTTATGTTTGTAATTGAAATGAATATACAAACTATTGAAATAATTATTTCAAAAGTAGTCGGATTTCAATAGTGGTGACTATAGAACTATGTTTTGTTATTGAAATGCGATCTCAACTACTAATGAAGAAATATATCAATATCCAGTATTTCAAGGACCAGTGGTTATAAGCTTTGTTTGCTATTGGAATGCATCCTCAACTACTACTAGATATAATTTTTCAATAGCGGTTGTATTTGGGGCAAAATGGTGGTTACTCACTATGTTTGCTATTGAAATGCATCATACCACTGATACAATTATTTCAATAATGGTCGTTATTTCAATAGTAGTTGCAACAGTGCATAATTCTCAACTGCTTATTCTGGAATCAATTTTATGGTCAGGCAATTAGTATTTTAATAATAGCAAAGTGTGTTTTAAATTCTCTATCCAACAAAACAAGTGAATGATAATTGGTTATGATTTTTTTTTCATATTAGGAAAATTGTGTAAAGAAAGACGCTTTTCTGGTAGAAGTGAACACAATAAAGGAAAATATAATTCTTAAAAAAACTTTCTTAGATTTCGATAACAGCAGTAAGTAATGGTTTTACTGTTTGCGGAATGAAGATTTGTATTCATAATTATGTTATTTCCTAGGACATCTACTTGTGATCTGTGTTTAGTTTTCATTGATATCTTTTCCCCTGTAAAATACATTAAGATATGAATAAAATTAACGTATCGCCACCTGTCAATCACAACAATATTTCAACCAATCAAATAATTTTGTTTATTCTGCGCCTTCATTAAACGCTTGCTCCGACAAACACTCGCAGTGGGTTGAGTAGTAGACAATAAACAAATTGAACAAATAAGTCCATTTAATTTATCATAAAAGGATGCAGTTTGGGAAAGTGTAACACCTACGACAGGTATCCCAACGGGAATTATGGATGTTTTGGGACCGCGATGATTCGGGACACCGACCTTTCGGGACCTGACAACACGTTTCTGGACTTGGATTAACACGTTCCTTTCAGTCAAAAAATGAAACAAAATTTGATTACTTGTTTTTTATGTTTATACATATCTTTATTAATGTGTTACAGATACACAAAAATCGGTATTGGGTGTAACTTATTCGTAAATCTATGCATAGTATGAATAGAGATATTCAAACTGTCATCGATCATTAAATTTAACATGCGAATATACCTATGTGTCATCACTTCATAACACTTCGACAAACGTGCATGTTGTCCATTCAAAACTATTGTCAAAATATGTACACATTTATTTAAAAAGAGAACTATGAGCATTTTTGAGTTATTAATTTTCACATTTCTCGTTTATATTGTTGTTTCTCGTTTATATTGTTGTCTCCTGTCTGATAGTTACTAGTTGCTTTTTTTTTACAATTTTTTTTACTGCATACCCGCGTAGGGGTTATGTCCATTAACTTTTATTTTAACTCATTTTGTGGGAGGGTTCATTAAGTCGGATTTTAATCTATCCATTGAAATGATTCTAATTTTTTGTTTATATTTATATCTGTTTAAATAATCAATTAAAGTACCATTAAGGAAAGATTAATTATTATATTTTTTTTGATGTCGATTATTAATTTTCTTCTACGTTTCATTTGTTTTCATGGAACAGCCATTTTCTGATTAAGAAATCTGTACAGGCAAAGAAAAAAAAACAAGGAATGCAAAAAATCCTTTTTCAGTTGTCAACTAAATAGTGTAATACCTTGATGAAAGTTAGAGGCGAAAGGTATATATTTTAATTATTCTTGAAAAATATTTCATATCATTGTTTATATTGTTGTTTCTCGTTAAAGAGGTATCTTGACTTGTCTGACAATTTCATGTACCAGTTGCTTTTTTTACGAAAATGTGTGTACTTACATACCAAGTATTCATAGGCTGTCCATTAAAAACAAGGAAACATATCATGAGCTTTTAACTGATTTTTGGTGCTAAATCCATTACGAAAAGTTTGAATCATCTTGTGACAAAGACTTTTCCGACATAGGTTCTACCTTAAGATTGAAGTTTATAACACAGTAACTACCGATTTCGTATTGAAACATAACTTAAGTATTTACTTAATACATGTATATTACATGTAAAATATAAAGTTTTAGACTTGTAAAATCGATACAAGCATTATGCTTGAATGATTTTGAGGATACAATTATAATTTTTTACTGATTTTGAATTCTAGGAATCTGGATTCATTTTGTTGTGTGCTATGCAAAAAAAAACATCCCATATTCATGTCTTATTTTCTTAATTTTTCAAAAGAACATGTTATGTTTAAAATTGGTTTTTCCCTAATTTCCCAACAACTTTGAGAACGAAACATCTTTACATAACAAAGTGGGATGATGCACCATGTTACATAAAAAGGCCATTTATTTGTGAAAAAGTGTTGTAGATTGTTTTTCATGAAAACTTCCTTTTTATCTTTCTATATGAACTTGCAGATTAAGGGAATACTTTAGAGAATTTCTAATAGTTTGTATGAGTTTGCATGTTTATAAATTATCGCTAAAAATTGATCACTAAACCCCCAAGTACTAGGAATTTCGTGAGATAGTTCCAATTTCTTTTTCTTATGAGCGAGATTAAAATTCAAAAATTTCGGTTATTGGATTATTTATTTTCAATGGCATATTATTATACCTGAGAACATTCAATAGCTCGCAATTTACATGCCAAAATAAATTCTCACGAATAAAAAGCAACGTGTAAAAGATGTTTGCATTCTTATTCGAGAGTTTAAAGGGATTATGTTAAAGCTGCATGAATGAGACCAGTTCTAATAAATTCATAATGGAAACATGTCACAAAACATGTCATTTTGTTTTTCATTTAAAAACTCTTTGCTCTTGTATACATAGAAATTATACTGCATACATGGAAAATTTACCCGTGGACGAACATGACTTGAAATGGAATGGGTTTAATTGATTGATTGATTGTATATTGTTTAACGTCGTTATCGTTATTTTTTCACTCATATGCAGTCGCAACCGTAAGCTTTTGTGAAGTAAATTTTGACTTTTACTCGGCACTGAGATCGATGATTAAAGCAGTGAAGGATCTTTATCGTGCCAACGCCTGCCGCTGACACGGGGCCTCGGTTTTAGTCTCATCCGAAGGACCCGCAACTTTCACTTCAAAGTTTAAGCGCATGGCGAATGAATATATTAACCCTTTTAAACGACTATTCAGTATTGTTTTTCCCGATCACGGATGCGAGCGCTCTTCCGACTGAGCTACCGTGAACGGTGGAATGGGTTTAATATCAAATCAAAAAAATCTTTGCATTTTTGTTATTCTTTTAAGTGTTAATATGAAAGTGAAAGTCAGAAATTAAAACTATGTGACTTAGTGATAGTTTCATCGGCAGCACGACTCTACTCGACTACACTTAGATTTTTAAATTAATCCTAAGTTACTATTTAGAAAAGGCTGTGAATTTGAATGTATATGTTATATATATATATATAGAAACTATCGGTTGAAAATAAATAGATAACAGAGATAACAAAAAGTATTAAGCTCAAAAGTCCATTTAGCAAACTAAAAAAGTTTTACATGTAGACTAGTTAAATGCCATGGAAGAGTTTTGCTTCCAATGATTTTGACCGGTTACAACCTCTGTTGCTTTATGTTTTGATCAAAAAACGAAACAATATTTTCATGACTTCCGTGTGTGAACATTAGCTTAACAAAGAGTATAAAAATCGTCAGTCAACATTTGACTTAATGATATTTGCTGAAAAAAGTCATTGTATCGACCACAGACCATTAAAAAAAACGACTACGTCTTCATGAGGATATCAAAACAGCACAGATATTAAACAAGGGGTACATTAATGAGCAAAGATGCTATTGACGTCGACGAGGGTAAATTTTAAGTAAAAAATGAATATATCACCTATTTTCATTTATCATATTTCAAAATACGCCGGAAAACGTTTATGCATTTTTTTTCTCTCTTATGAAACTTAAGTTCAGCACACTTCTATTTTAGATCTCCTTTTCACCACATCAATTACAAAAATCATTAAATAATCCTCGTTTTAATGTACATCAATGCTACATTTCAATTTAAATTGGCACAACGGTTATGTTTGATTTTATCGTATATTATTAATTCTTTGTAGTTCAGACAATACAAAAACTATCTTTCATCTTTCATGGAATTCTTCCTCATTCATTTCGTGTGATCACAACTTTAGAAGTTTAAAACTCTTACGATACAAAAGAAATAACTTTGTCAGAAAGATTATATTTCAATTGCTGAACAGAAAAATGTGTTTATATTCCAGAATATCTTATTACCATCCTCATTGCTAATGTTAATATTACCTTAAAATACCAGACAAACAATACACCAGAATATGTCTCCTCTGATAATGTCTTATTTGTAAACGTTTGTTAAAAACAAAATATATAAGAAAGTTATCTTTTACAAATTCTTTTCGCTGCCCTCCTTTGACCAACTGGTTTAAAATGAGCAAACTTATTAACTACATGCAAAGCAATAAATATAAAACTTTTCAACTTTCTGAGTGAACTCTAAAATATATAAAAAGACAAAATATTGATACTTTTCCTTTTTTATATTTTTTTTTAAAAGGAAATTTGTGTAAATAATATTTTCAAAAACTGTAATTGTACCCTTATATTTTTAGCGGTTTTATTCACAATTTGTCATACAGCAATCAGATGAATATTTTGACAATATCATTTATCAATGCCGAGATTAATTAGATGTCCCCTCGATAATTCCTTTCACAAACTCTTTTTGTGTGTCTTTTGCTGCATCAGAATCACCGGTCATTGCTTCCACAGCTGATCGCATTTGGGACACGACTGGACATTGTTTGGAAAATTCCTCCTGTGTCCTTTGAGCTCCCTCAAGATCGCCTCCGATAGCTTGGAAGAGAGACTTGACTTGAGAAACTACTGGAACTGCGTTTTCGTTACCCATTTTCTGCAACAAATTGATAGTATGCGACTTACTACGTTAGTACCCCTTTTTCATAGTAATGTATTTATGTGAAATATCCGAATTCAACGTTTGGGCATGATCTGAGTATCACTGAAAAAAAAATAATTAATCGAAAATCGCATCCGTTATATCAAATTTGCTACTGTTTAAAAGTTTAATGTGTATCATGCAACTACTATGTAAGTTATGTAGATAGAATATTACATTTCCTTTAACCTTTCTTATATCAAATCAACTTTCTATTAGAAAAAAAAAATCTTACCTTATGCAACAAGTCCTTTAATATAAAAAAAAATATTCTATAAATTCTGATTCTCTGCTTAAAACTTTTACGTAAAACGCCAACATTTATACAACTTTATTCCTGGAATTTTGCCATCGTTTTATTGTTATTATTGTTTTGGTTTCTCTTTCTAGAAACAAATGAAACCGAAAGTGAGTGAAAGGATAACACAAAGCATAAATACCCAAAAAGATATTTGCGTTTTATTTTCCTATGTTCTCAAGGTCATATATTATTTTCGAATAAACCTGGCAATTTTAGTGGTTGATATTATCTATTCAATCTACCTATAAAATAAAGAGAGCTTAGCTGAATGAAGTTGTTCGTAGTCTTTTTTTTTATTTTTTTTGTTTTCCTTTAAAAGAAATCAAACAGTAAAAGATTAGGTTCTGTTCATATTCTTATCTAAAATAGTCAATGAATTTTATTTCATTATTCAACAGAAACAAACAAGCAATTGGTGTTAAAAATTGTTTATAAGAAAACACGCCTTTAAGGATTAATATTTTATGATCCACCAAGAAGCTGTGTTAAACGCAATCCGCATATAGAATTGTGTTACTCAAATAGAGTGTGCAAGGTTACTGATAAGAGAATGAAGATTGGACGGTAAAGTTTTGTAAATGAAATGTTTGTTATCTTAAAATTAATATACAAGTTTAATGAGCTTGATTATATTAATTTCTTAATTGATGCTTTCATATAACAGTGGATCTTATCCATTGATATCTGCGCAGAGTCATGAAGTGTATGCATGCCCGTCGATAAAAATCAATTCCTTTTCTGAAAATTTTTATGAAACCCCAGTCCAATTGTGTTTTTTTTTTCTAAAATTGGTTATTGCAGCCAATCCAAAAAAGTTTTTAAAAAAGGTAGTACAGAAAGAAGTATTTATAGAGCAGTGACTAATATATTTTTACATATATAGGAATGTACCCGAAGCTACAGCTGTATAAGAAAAACAGAAATTTTATTTTGCAATGATTAATTAAATACATTTGTTTTCTAAATAAACTCAGGAAGAGCGGTTTTTTTTTTTCATTTTACCTCTGTAAAACAATTAAATCTCAGAGTCAGGATATCGCATAACGTACCCAACATTTCCTAGCTTATTTTGTTTCAGTTTGGAAAAGCATTATCATCTGTGATTATTTTACTTTCATCACTGTTAATTTTTTTTATCTCTAACATTGCGATATTCACATAGTAACAAGGTCAGATGCAAGTGTGCATACACGATGCACGTTTTGATGAGGCAGTGCAGTTTTCCATCATTCTATAAATAGAAGTTGTCTTATCAGCTTAAATAATTTGACCGTGTTATATTGGCAGCAAAGAATACCTCCACTCTCACAAATATATTACTGATTTTCTTTAAAAGGTTGTCTGGCATGAGAAAACTGTTTCCGTGATATGTAATTTTGAAAAGAAAAAATATCAAGCGTCATCATCAAGAATCATTTGAGGATGGGGACAGAAATTTTTGAATAAGCGCAATTGATAGACTTGAATTGTTAGACTGGTGAATGTTGAGTTATGATTCGGTGCATTCTTCGCTGAGAAACGATCCTGAAAACCAGGCCTAGCTAACGCTATGAAAGATCCTGTTTAGAAGTCTGCAGTCAATAACTATCTACAGAATGGTACTGAAAATATCAATAAATTTAAAACAATAACCGATTTAATCGGTGAAAAAATGAATTTGAACGAAGGTAACAAATATCATGTAAATCTACACTTAATAACGTATTTTTATTTTTTAGCTTAGATACGCAATATATATCTTTAACTTTTTGTGGAAATAAATTTTGTCACTTTATTAAAACATTCTCTTTTTAAAATTGTATACTGTAGAAGTACTTTTTTCCGCGTGGTATTAATTAACGCTATGTACGCGGTCACAGATAATCCGCGGAAATTTGTCCAAGCGTACTTAATATAAATGTAAGGCATATAGTGACAGTCAAGAAAATCCGCGTAATTTTCTACCCGCGGATTAAACAGAAATTGAGATTCCGCGGAGTTATGACCCCGCGGAAAAAAGTACGTCTACAGTATTTTGATAATTTGATCTCCACCAATATCTTGACACAGAGACTTCAAATGAGAATTAAACTGCACCGAGATCTCGTAACCCACTATCAAAATAAGTGTATACATTCCAAATCTATAAGAGTTCCTTCTTAAGTAATCTCCCTTCCCCATTTCAGAACTTTTTATAAATTATTAAGGAATTCCAACATTCCTGCATGAAGGGAAGAAATAAAGAAATGTCATTTACAGAAA